GGCATTAAACCACTGTCGCTGTTATACTATAAAGTGTGCTTGTTGATAATTATGGTACTCAGCTCGTATGAATTAACATTTCCTAGACAAACATGTTAACTAACAACTGTATATACCCTTCTACACAACTGTAAATATACTGCTCAACACCTTGCTCTATTTTGTTCACGAGTACCCCCAAAGTTAAATGTGGCCAATGTTACTTTTATTTATTTATTTATTTTTTATAAGACTTTAATTTTTTTTTTTTTTATTTTATTTTTTTTTTTATATATATATATATATATATATATATATATATATATATATATATACCAGTATATCAATTTTGGCTACTTGAAGAACATCTATTAACTACCCCGTATTACTAAAATAAAACATTGATGACATCATCGACCCTCAAAATATTATACATGTCATACTTATATTAAAAAATTTCCCAAATTTCTCTTCTGAATTATAGTTTCGCATATCTAATTCCTTTGATGTTTGATTATGGGTTTAATTTTATATTTTTAACTTTCCCAACACTTTGTGATTATTTTTATATCTAATTCTAATCTTGTTAAATAAATAAATGATAAATTTAGCAAAAACAAAAAAAAAATTAAATAAATAAAAACCTTATGAATACACATAGGCACATAGCTCTAGTATACTCGGAGAACAACTAAAAATTTGTACATACTTTATAAGGTTGTCTAATATCGCTTAAGTCCTAACCTACCTACCCTCAATTAATTCTTACCTACAAAATACAGCAATTTCTGTTTTATTATTCTTTCAATTCTTCACATGTGGACATTAATTATTCAGCAGGGCATATTATTAATACTAGTACTAGTACAAGGCTAGCAACTAGATGTTAAAATGGAGCAATCTTTACTTTGATAATTTTCTCTATCTAAATTTGCGGTTTTTAAATTTAAAGCAATCTATATATTCCTAGCTTGATGAAAATTCTTATTAACTAGCTTTTTGTAAGCTTAAAATAAAAAAAGAAAGCACGACTTATTATTATGAACTGCATGGTCGGCATGAACTTAGCATGAGATAGAATATGAATGCACCAAAATTTCATGAATTTGGTACATCCAAAAGTTACATCACAGTCATAAGCATTAATAATCCTACTTCATTGAAGAGTACTTTTTATCTTATCTTTTATTTATCCAAGGTGAAAAAAAACTTTTGTTACTAGTAACAACGATGTACTTCATTCGTTTGAAATTAATAGTCATTGTTTTGATAATGTACTGTTTTTAACTTACGGGGTACATACTATTGCATATGAGATCATTTTCTGTTTGACATATATACTTGTGTTGCCTTGTTTTAGGGTCTGTTTTCTTACGTTGAAATTCAGTTCAGTTCAGCTCAACTCAGTTCAATTCAGTTCAGCTCCTAATTTCCTTCTTTTATAAAATATTCAGTTCAGTTTAGTTCAGCTCAGCTCAGTTCAGTTCAGTTCAGTTCAGCTCCTAATTTCCTTCTTTTATAAAATATTCAGTTCAGTTTAGTTCAGCTCAGCTCAGTTCAGTTCAGTTCAGTTCAGCTCAATTCAGTTCAGTTCATTTCAGCTGAGTTCAGTCAATGAGAACAGACCATTAGACAAAGTAATTAAGTTTAAAGTTAAATAAGCTAATATCAAACAATATAACCTAAGGTTTAATATATTCAAAAGTTTGGCAAATTTCAAATAAAAAAAGTGCAGGTTACATAAGTTCAAAGAAATTATTAATTAAAATCAAACACCCTTAATTATTTGAGGGTAGGTTGGTTAATAACCTAGTCATGATTTGATATCTCCAATTGTTGCACTACATCACATTACACTTTCATATTTAGTGCTTTTAATTCTCATGCAATTAAGTACGGAGGACCTTCTCGAGGCTTAGCCTCTCATTCTCACACACACACCCACCAAAAAAAAAAAAAAAAAAAAAAAAGGTACGAAGGACCTAATTAAGTGTTAAAATCATTAAGGAACAAAATCGATATGGTATAATGCTACAGATGTGATCAATAAGAAAGTTAAGACACTACTCTAGCAATAATCGTGATTCTACATATACATACGGTTTTTGTTTTTTTTTTTTTTTTTTAAATTTTTTTTTTTTTTTTAAGAAAGGCTCGTCTATGACAATTAACTAATTAAGTGGTAAGACGTATGCCTTTTACATTCCTGGTCTTAAATCCGAGGCTCCTCAACTCTTACTCCTCTCTCCGGACAACCCGTCCTACTCGACACCCGTGTTGGACCGAAACAAGGGCCACCATTTAGCATTGATCATAAAACCCTTTTATTCTAAAAGAAAGGTGTCACATATGTTTTGAACTAGTAACAAAAGGGACCAAAAAAGGGGGGCGAGGGAGATAACATTGAATATACTTTCTGAATCAAGTAGATGTGTTGGTTGGAAACTTGGAGATTTTACCTTCTTTCTTTGTTTTTGTTCTTCCTCTAAATTTGTTGGTCCGAACAAACTACTTCTAGTAGCTTTATCTTATTATATGACTAATTGATTTAGGGTATAATCTCTATCATTATTCTAATGCTCATCTATTATTATGATTCATGCTTTTTTCAAACTTCAGTTTTTCTAACCATAATATATCATGACGTTGATCGGTAACGAATATATTGATTTAAAAGAAAGCTAAGCTGTATTAGTAGTAATACTATATCCTAATCATAATTTGCATTGTTTGATATATAAGTAGTAAAGAGTAATCGAAACATTAGGCTAACCTTAATTCTCTTACCGCTGGTTACCAAACTGATTGAACCTAGCTTGCTTAGGTGTATAGATATAATTCGTATATTTGATATGACGTATTTATTTTTTTCCCTACTTGGGGCATGTTCATATTTACTTATTTTCAGTTCAGTTCAGTTCAGTTTAGCTACAATCAGTTCAGTTCAGTTCAGCTCTAATCAGTTCAGCTCAGTTGTTAATTTTTTTGTTTTAGATGTTTTAGCATATTACAACAACGACAATAATAATAATAATAATAATAATAATAATAATAATAATAATAATAATAATAATAATAATAATAATAATAATAACAACAACAATCATAATAATAACAATAGCAATAATAATAGTAATAATAATAATAATAATAATTATTATTATTATTATTATTTTAAATTATATTCGTCATTCAAAATGGTCACATGTTTTTTTTATAGTTGAACTCATTGACAAAATGAGAGTACTACACAACAGTTACTAGCTTTCATAATCAGTTAGTTATTCTTCTTCTTCTTCTTCTTCTTCTTCTTCTTCTTCTTCTTCTTCTTCTTCTTCTTCTTCTTCTTCTTCTTCTTCTTCTTCTTCTTCTTCTTCTTCTTTCTTCTTTTCTTCTTCATTAAGTTGCTCCATTACCTCGGCATTCCTCTGAATTGACTCTCATATCTGATAAGTTATTTGGTTTCGTACAATATCCATAGCTGCTTTTCTGTTATCATCGTACATAGTATGATCTTCTGATGGTCCCATGACTTCAACTTGGTGCGTGAATGGAATCCCTAGTTCATGTAAATGAACAAAATTGTGTAGAGTACAACAAACAACGATCGACTACAGTAAAATATTGAAGAATACTTTTTATTTATATATATATATTTAAAATATAATACATAAAAATTAAATAATTTAAAGTATAATAATTTAAAATACAGAGTTATTTTTAAAACACTTTTATATTTTTCACAATCCACTATATATATTATCATTAATTATATACATTTTCATATATTTTTATGCATTTTAATTTTTCAGTTCAGTTCAATCCAGCTTCAATCAGTTTAGTTCAGCTCCAATCATTTCAGTTCAGTAAATATGAACAAGCCCTTGATCTCCATATGATTATATGGACCAAAGATACAATATAAAAAAGTTAAAAGACAAATTGGGAAAGTTAAAATAAATGAAAGTCAATGTAGATGAAAGAAATGAGTGCTTGCTTTATCATAATTCAAATGTCATTACAACTGTAACAACTATATATAGTAGTTGTAGTTTTCACACAGTACATATGTATAATCACATTTAAGTAGTCATATATATACCACCAAGTACCATGTGAAGTAAATTCATGATATTCATATTTTGTTTCAACTTGGCTTGTACACACTCTTCGTCCTTTAATCTAGCAGATCATATGTAAAATATAAAACTTACTAACTTAATTAGCTGTTATTAACTAACGTCCGTCACTGCCTAGCTTAAAAACATATCCATAACTCCAGAAACACTATGACAATACGCTATAATATATTGGAAATTTTTTTAAATTACCACCAAAAAATGTATTCATTTTAAAAATAACTATTCGTTCAATTTTTTATTTTATTTTATCACCTCTTAAAAAAAACTACTCAAATTACCACCTATTGTAAAATCCTAGTGGATTTCTTGCATGTGGACCTACCCAATGGTTAGTAACGGCTATGTCTAAGCATTAAAATCAACCATGTCTCCACTCCACCTCCCCTTTAAACCAGTTTATTAAGTACAAGACAACCTAAAACCAAAAGAAAACAAGTAAAAAAACCAAGAGCTTGTTATCTGAATTGCCACTACTACTGATCATCTTCTTCCTGTTACCACTAAGAGTCGTTAGGTGGGGCCCACATAAGAGAATTCCACCAGAATTTTAAAATGGGTGGTAATCTGAGTAGTTTTTGAATTTAAGGGGTGGTAAAATAAAAATAAAAATAAAAATTTAACAGGTGATTATTTTGAAAATAGATACATTTTTAGGTGGTAATTTAAAAATTAACCTAATATATATTATCATACTCCGTATAATATTATTAAATTCACATATGACGGAAATGTATATCAATTTCAAGTTGTTTTACGTACCTTCTCTTAGACTTTACCAAATAAGCTAAATAGTTGGTCACTAAAGTTGTGTCGAATTAAACATCATTAACGCTGGATAGTAGGGGTAAATAGTAAGCTAATTAATTATCCGAAATGATAGAAACATATCTTAAAGTTCCCACAACACGCTAATACACCAAATAGTAGGAGCAATAAATAAAACCCATTTAATACACCTTCAACTTCCAACCCACTCTTGTTTCTCCTTTCTTCTCCTTCTTTTCAATCTTCCTTTTTCCTTCACATCTTTTCTTCAATTCAATTCACTAAAAAAAAAACAAACAAAGTTTATATTACCACCTCTTCTTTCCCAACCGTTGGCCAACCCACACCCTCCATTTTCTCTCTCCTCAAAACTCAATTATCCTCCATATATATCCCCCCATTTCACCCTTTTTCTTCATTCATAATAATAAATCCACCCCCCCCCCCCCAACCAAAAAAAAAAAAAAAAAAACATGGGTAAGTTGAAATTCCCTCCAATTTCTGAATGTAACCCAGAAAAAAAATCATACAAAAGTGTTGCAGCTGATTTAGATGGAACACTGTTATTAAAATCTTCCTCTTTTCCTTACTTCATGTTAGTAGCTGTTGAAGCAGGAAGTCTTTTACGAGGGTTTTTCCTTCTTCTATCACTGCCCTTCATTATATTCTCCTATTTATTCGTCTCGGAATCGTTAGCCATTCAGACTATGATCTTCATTTCCTTTGCCGGTCTTAAGGTCCGCGAGATCGAGCTCGCGGCACGGGCCGTGCTCCCTAGGTTCTACGCCGCGGATGTAAGGAAGGATAGTTGGGAGGTGTTTGATAAGTGTGAAGGTAAAAAAGTTGTTGTCACCGCTAACCCGACTATTATGGTTGAAACCTTTGTCAAGGAGTATTTGGGTGCTGATAAGGTGTTAGGAACTCAGATTGAGGTTAACCCTAAGACTAAGAAGGCTACTGGTTTTGTTAAGGGTAGAGGTGTTTTGGTTTGGGAGAAGAAAAAAGAGGTTGTTTTGGAGGAGTTTGGTGATGACTTGCCTGATCTTGGACTTGGTGATCGCGTTTCTGATCACGAGTTCATGTCTCTCTGTAAGGTACGTATTATACTCCTTCTGTCTCATAATAATAATTTTATATTATCCGTTAATTGTTAGATGTTATAGTGTGTATCAATAATATTAGTTGTTTGTTGTTTGTTAGGGTCACATATATTATGTGCTACTTTGAGTTGTGTTGTGTGGTATGGTTACGTAGAACTATTACGAGTCTTTGAAATTAATGAAAATTAGAGGATGTTACATGTGAGTTATGTGTTACGGCGACGAGTGAGTACCGTCACATGGGCTAGCAAATGTAACAAGTACAACTAAACCAAAATGAATCAACTACCTTCTTCATAAGACAAGGGTCACATCAAGTATCTAAGCTTTGGATTTTCACGTAAACAACATTAATTATACACATTTAATATGCATAATCAAAAATAAAAAACTTGGACCTACATAATTAAGTAAGATGAATTTCATTAATTTTTCTACTCCCTCTGTTCCAAAAAGAACGATCCATTTAGCCAAAATTTTGTCCCAAAAAGAATGACCCATTTGCATTAAAACACTACCAATTTACAACAATATTTGTGCAAAATTAGCTTCTCCATATAAAAATTTTATTTTCCATGTTATTTTATTACTTTCTCTCTCTATTTTTTTTACAAACCCCATGTAAATTTATCTTTCCAATATACTTTTACTTCTTTTTACTTAACTTCCTTAATACCCGCGTAATTAACCCAAATGGGTCGTTCTTTTTGGAACGGAGAGAGTAATTTTTTAGTTGATAAAGGTAGATACTACATAATGTGTGTATTTATTCCATGTTACATCGATTATAATAAATGTGTGTACTCCATGGTAGTAGTAAAAGTTATAGATAGATATACGTGATATGACAAATATTACAGAAAATACAATAAATATGATTAATAATTATACTGAGAATAATAGCAGAATTTTATTTTTAGTTGGTTGCCTTAGTACTGAGATATGAATGTTTAGAGCTGGAAAATAAATGAGGCATGATCCTACTCAACTACTTTGTACATACATCACTGAAAATTCATGTTATATAAAACTATTAATTAATAAAAAACGAGCGTCCCGGGGCGTTAGATAAGGATAAATTATATTGGTTGAAATGGTATTAAGTTAGGAATTCATGACAAAATCACGCGTCGTTCGGTGTAATTAATGTTAATTTTACTCTAATATTTGCATTTTAATTATCTTATCCAACGCCCCGGGAGGAGCGCTCATTAACTTTTGCTTATTAATAATAGTAGTAGTAGTTTTCGTTGATTTAATACAAGTAAACGATATATATGCACGAGTCAAGTTGACAATAATCCAAGAAATGAAGGGAAAACTTGAAAGTCAATTAATCAAACTCTTTTCTTAGTCGTGGAAATTGGATTTTACTTGCACTTAGTTGATACGTTTGTTGGTAGGTGAACTAATTGGAATTTGATCATCAAACTAATAGACTCTTTAGCAAGTGGACACATACTTGGAAAAAATCACGCATTAGTTTTAATTTCTTAATAATCATTAAGTATTAGATTAATTTGTCTTGCTATATGAGGTATTTTGACTAATAATAATCTGCGAGCTTGTTGTAGACAATTAATTAAAAATATACTCAAAATAATGTTTTATAGTTGATACGATGATTGTATGCACCAAGTGCATAATTTTATAAAATAAACGTGTACAAAGAACATAAGAAGTGCTACGTATCAAACTAGATTGCACATATATGTCTAATGTAACGTAACCAATGGAAGAGAATGAATACAATATATGGAGTACATTAATTTACTTTTGCTTCCTTGAATGAGGTGAAAAGGTATATTTCTTGTTGATTTTTTGGGACATATAAATCGAATTGATCAAATTTATCTTAGCGGTTTTGATTTTTAGTAAAAAAGGTGTTGAAAAAGAATAATTTTAGTTTAAATCAAGAATAAGAATAATTTTGTCTGATGTTTTAGGATCAAATAATTCTAATGCTTCAAGAAGGTAATCAAGGTATACGGTACCTAGCTACATATTTTCAATAATACAAAAAAAATAAAAAAAAATGAAATATAGTTAAATGGGGTTGGAAATTAGTTGAGCTAAAAGGCAGCAACCATATAAAAATTAAGGCCCACAATTATAGAAAATCTTTCAAGTAGTTCAATGTTGCCAAAAGTTTAATATCCTTTATTTTTATGGTCCAAAGTCCACCCACAACCAATCAACACTTATGAAATTAGATTTAGCCCATCACAATCTTATACAGCTTCACCTTTCAAATTTATTAATATCATCTCCAACCATATTTAATTTAATTATACAAAATTAAATGTATACTTTATAATAGTGTAACTATTTTGATATAATGAACCATTTTGATGACAAACCCATAAAGTTGTCATCTATATGTACAAATGTACCGAGTAACTAACTAGAAGTACAACTATTTATGACTATAGTTTGTTACGTTTTTCGCAAAATCTAATAAACCCTGTTGTACAGGAAGGGTACATGGTGCACAAAGACAAATCAGCAAAGGCAGTAGCACAAGATCAATTAAAATCAAGGATCATCTTCCACGACGGAAGGCTAGTACAACGTCCAGACCCAATAAACGCATTGATCACCTTCATATGGATACCATTCGGGTTCATCCTAGCCATATGTAGAGTATACTTCAACCTGCCACTACCCGAGCGCATCGTACGATATACATACGCTATGATGGGAATTAAACTCGTGATTCGAGGAGATCCGCCACCACCTCCGTCACCAGGGAAACCCGGGAACTTATACGTGTGTAATCATCGGACTGCCCTTGACCCTATTGAAATTGCTATTGCACTTAAGAGGAAGCCTGCGACTGTTACGTATAGTGTGTCCAAATTTTCTAGATTTATATCTCCAATCCCAGCCGTTGCTTTGACTAGAGATCGTGTGGCTGATGCTAATATGATTAAGGCTTTGCTTGAGAAGGGTGATTTAGTCATTTGTCCTGAAGGAACTACTTGCCGTGAGCCTTACTTGCTTCGCTTTAGTGCTCTCTTTGCTGAATTGAGTGACAGGTATTTTTCTAGTTATTACTCCCTTTGTCTCTTTTTATTTTAACTATTTCCGTCCCTTACCTTTCTACCCCGCTTTTTAAAATAATTATTTATTCATCAAGCGTAAAAGTTAGAGGTGATTATTGGGTGGCCAAACTTCGGGCCGAAAAATTCATGCCCAAACCCGTCCAAAATGGCCTGGCAGATGGGCTTTTCAAGTCAATTTTGTGTCGGGCCAAAAAGTAACTAAATTTGCATTAAAACGATTTCCCCAGCCAGCCCAAAGTTTACGAAGAATCGGGCCAGGTCAGGCCCGAGCTGATTTTGGGCCGAAAGAAACTGCCCAAAATCGGGTCGGGCACATTTGATCAGCTCAAAGTCTAAAAGTATAATGTACAGAATTACAGATTACGTATAATATATGGAATCACGGTCAATTTTGTTAGTTAAACTAGGAGTAATTATAGTGTAATTTTCGATATATACTTGTTCGTATTTTTTAACTAGATAAAATGCACGATTAGAGATATCTATGGCCAAATTAGTGCATATGAGACTTGTGAAAAAGCAAACGTTGCAATTATGCAGTAATAAATAAAAATATTGTTTATTTTTAAATGACCGAAGTTTAATGCTAAAAAGAAGTTTTTATTAAGCTAACAATTGTATTATTGGGTTTGGAACGTACAGAATTGTTCCAGTAGCAATAAACTGCAGGCAAAACATGTTCTATGGGACAACAGTAAGAGGGGTTAAATTTTGGGACCCTTATTTCTTCTTCATGAACCCAAGACCAACATACGAAATGACCTTCCTAGACAAGTTGCCGCCGGAGATGACGTGTCAGGGAGGCGGAAAGACACCAATCGAGGTGGCGAACCACGTGCAAAAGATGTTGGCCGGGGTGCTAGGGTTCGAGTGCACTCAGTTCACTAGGAAGGATAAGTACATGCTGCTTGGTGGCAACGATGGCAAGGTTGAGTCTATCCATGCTGCTAAAAAATCTATTTAGATTTTTAATAAAAGGCTTGTTAAAAGATTACAAAAATTAATCATGTTTTAGTCATGTTTTTTTGGGTTAATTATTGGTGAAATTGGAAATTGGAAGTACAGTTTGATAGTATTGTTTAGTCAATCATCGTTTATAATTTATTTTTTTATTAATGTTATTGTTATTGATTGTTGTAGTTTTTTTTTTTTTTTTGAATTGGCTATTTGAATTTTGTACCCAAATAATTGTGATTAAGGTCTTTAAGGGTGCATTAGTAGTAAGTTAGTAACTACTACTCAATTTTATTTGTATCCTTTTAAAACTCTAATTATCAACTTTATTTTGTTAGAGTATATGCGATGTATTAATGTACGGAGTATGTATTTTGTAGAGTAAAGTATGGTATATGCTGCTTATCTATAGGATCGCATTAATTGCTTATTATATAACTTGTGTAGTTGTGTATAATAAGTTTGATATCATTGTTAAATAAATTGTTAAAACTTAACTCGATTCAAAATGATCCTACACTCATCTAGCTAAAACATGATCCAACTTCATAATGAACATTTGGGACTTAGTAATTGGCTAGCAGCCTAGCATAATGTATTAAAGTGCAATAATGTGTAGAGATTGGCCCTTCAGTATGGTAGGTGATTAATTTATTTTCATGTTTATAGGGTAGTAGGGTGTTGGGTTTGTTAAATTAATTAGCACGTTGCATGTGCTAGAGTGTAATTATACTAATGCACGAAATCATAAATAAAAAATGTAGTGTCACTTTTAAAGTTTTAATTAGGTATGTTCCTACATTGTGTGTTAGTTATGCTATGAATGTCAGTATGATAGTTAATTACTACTACGGGTTTGTTTTGATTTACTGAACTAAGATGAGATGAGATGAGCTGAACTGTTTATAGGAAAAGGAAATTAGAAACTGAACTGCTATGAATTGAATTGAAATTAAGCTGAAGAGAATAAACCCTATCTTAAATTCTTAATTGGAGATATCAAGTTAGCTATGAGCATTATATTGCTATCAAAAAGAGTTTTCTTCAATTTATTAACAAAAAAGTGAAATTTCTATAAAAACATCAACTAATGGTCTAATAAAAAATACTAGTTCTTATAAAATTACTTGGTTAATTTTCCTCCAATCTACACCAAGATCCCATCGGCATGACGGCATGAATGGTCTAACTATGTAGTCCGTACATTCGAAGCGGGTAGAAAAAATGGCGATAGATATATAGTAGTACTTGATACTTTGCACATGAATGATGAATGAATACTACGTACAATATTGAATTGACATTTCAAAGGTGAAGGTGCGTTGGTGGGATACTAGCTGACGAGCGAATATGTTGATGTTGCACCCACCAACTATGAATTATGGAAGGTGCCAAACCTTATGGAATCTTGGAATATGATTCCGGTTTTGTTCTCCTTGCCTGAATATGGTGTTTTGGTTTGACCTAGTTTATATTTTCAAAAGTAATGAGCTAATTTGATTTTAGTTGTACGTCAATGTATAAGAATAAAGCATTATCAAGTGCAATCTTGTTAGATTCATCTCTACGTATATTTTTTTTTTAAAAAATGTGTGTCTTATGGCTTTAATATGACTTTAACCAGAATAAAGTAAAGAAAACAAAGTTTTAATTAGGGCATGTTCTATTTTCCATGTATAAATTAAGATAAATACAATTCAAGAAAAATAAGTTTTCATTTCAGTTTCTAATTTCCTTCTCTTATAAATAATTCAGTTCAGCTCATTTCATTAAAACAGAATAGACCCTTAAATTACAATTATAATGAGTTTTTAATAACGTCTAATAAATTTAGATAAGACAAAATAAATTCAAATATTACCTCCGTAACATATTATTTGCAACGATTAGACATTTTTCCTCTCTACTTTATGTCAAATCATTGTAAATAATATGTAACGGAAGTAGTAAGTAAAAACAAATGTTTAGAACACACCCTTACCGAGTAGGCCAGTAGTGATATTTTTTTTTTTTTTTACCAAAATACGGAGTACATAGTAGTGATATAAGATTATGTAAATTACTCCATAGTTGATGATGATTATCATAATAAAAGAGAGAATGATGAGAAAATAGGAGGTTTATAGGTAAGGTAAAGAGCCACGTGTGAAGATAAGAGCCCTGCATCGTAGTTCCACAGTTGTACAGGATGAAATAATTAACGGAAGCGGGAAAATTCCATGAGATATTCCCACCAGCTTATCGTCTACCAAGTGTTCGTTTCCTTCGTCTCACTCAGGAGAGAGAAACTTCAACACACCACAATTTATACAATTTTAGGATGATTTGACATTTTCGAACTTTCTAGTTTTCAATTCTGCAATTTTTTGCCGGCAACTATGGCAATCGGCGGCGTTATCTCCAATCGCTCCTTCACTTCTTTTCTCTCTCCTGGTATTTTTTCCTATTTCATCTTCAATTTCATCAATTTCAGTTTTTTATTTTGCTGTAATTTGATTTGTTGATTCAATTTGGATAAGGAGTACTTTGTATATTTGTATTATGATTACTAATTTCAATTTTCTGGAAATGGAATTTTGCTTAATTTTGTCATTTGATTGAGACCGGTGGATAACTGCGGTTCGCTTTATTATCTGAACTTATCCGAACTTATTTTTAGTGTAATGAGTGGAAATAAGGTGAATGGAATATGACGTTATACAGTTAGTTATACTCCGTACTTACTAAGATTATCTGCAACAATGAGTAATGAAGAATCTAGAAAGGGCGGAATTTTCGAGGTCAGGATAATGTGATTATGTTCAATTGCAGAGTTATGACATGCATTGGTATTGCTGAATTGAGGTTGTTTTTGGAGTTGACTTTCCTAAATTCTTTTTAAATTTTGAGTTGTTTCCTTTCTGATATCCGCAAATTGCGGGTAAGGTTGATGGTGGAATACATATTGGGTGGTTGTTGGTGATTTCTGTTAATTAGTTAAGATTTGATTAAGTTCTGGAACTAACGCTCGAATAACGGTTGGTTAAAGTAAGGTTGCTTACATTTGAACTCCTTAACCACAAGCCTAGACTTAGTGTCGTAAGAGAGTTTCGTGCTGGGTTGAAGGGAAGAATAAGCTAAAGTGCGATAGTGTTGACTCGTGCTTTTATTTACTCCAAATATCAAATGTTTAATTATGGTGAAAAAGCTGACAGGAAAATGGTCTAAAGTTTCTATTTTGGCAATATTTAGTATAGTAAGGCACTTATTGGATTATCCAAACATTACACATATAGCATAAGTGCATATGCATAACCTGTTAAGGGTTTATGTAGTTTGTTTGTCAATTGGATAATGTCTGAAGAGTGGGGTTTTATAAAATGACGATCTTTATGTCTTTCGATTGAGCTTTGTGGAGCTGCAATATGCTTTATGATTGACTTAGCACCCTACATTAAACTTACCAAGTTCTTAGTGCACTACAAAATGTTTAGATTGGGTTTCTATTGGAGCATTGTTGTAGATGTATGAATGTAATGTATCTGTTGTTAAGAGTGGTTTAGCTTGTTAAGTAATTGAGCTATTAACAATGTTTTTGTTATACAAATCCTTCATAGTCTTTTTTATTTTGCAGGTAATGTATGTCAGAAAAGAAATGATGTAGCGCATCTCAAGAAAGAGGATTTTGGTTCCTCCATTGGGCTATGTGGACAGGGGAGATTGCTGAACAAAACATCTCACCGCCTGACTAAGAACTGTCTTACTTCTAAATGTTCGCATTGCTCGCTTGTTTGTATTATAAATGCTTCGGACTCCAGTAATACTAAGCATGCCAAGACAACTTATGATAATAATTTGTTTTCTCACTTTCATCATGCACATGATTACTTTCGTGCTCCAAGCTCTATCAAAAGGGTTAGAAGAGTATCTAGAAGCTCTATCTCTTCTAAATCCTGCTGTAAAAGCGGTACATTGGTGCCTTCAGGACCAGTGGATAAGTTTCTTGTGGATAACAGTAAGTTGCCGATGTCTAATTTTGTGGGAGACAGTGGGGTCCGTGCTTATTACAAGTCTGAGGAATTTGACATAACTGAAGGGGCCTTTGATTCACTGAGGCCATCTGAGGGAGCAGGCGAAGTTGTTTTACCAGACAAAAGTGCACCGAAGACAGCTCAGTTACCAAAGCGCTGGGTTGTTGTGTTGCTTTGTTTTGCAGCATTTCTATTATGCAACATGGATCGTGTGAGTTGTTCTCCTATTCATCTTGCTGTAGTTGTCTGCCTGGATATTGCCTATGTAACCCACAGTATCCAGCTATATATGTGATGTAAAATTAAGCTTTAGCCTAATTTAAAATGGCTTCTGCAGGTAAATATGAGTATTGCAATTCTTCCAATGTCCAAGGAGTTCGGTTGGAATAGCACAACTGTTGGTCTGATTCAATCATCCTTCTTTTGGGGATATCTTCTTACTCAGGTTTAGCTCTAGTGCTCATTAACTCAACATTCTGTTTAATGTGTCATTATGGCAAACTATATAGGCATAGTAAATTCTGTTATGCATCTACCTTCCTTAACATCAAGCAAATTGTGATGTTGATTTCACCCTCCCCCTTGATTTTGATGGTAAGGCACAAAGATTTAAGTGAAATCTTCCCCACTCCCCCCCTCCCCCCTCTTTGATTTTGACGGTAAGGCACAAAGATTTAAGTGAAATTTTTGTCCACTATTGATGCTCTCATTTAGGAAATTCACATTTATAAGGGAATGTGTTTCATCATAGGAATATGCCATTATGGTTAAGAATATTATATAAACAGTCCAATTACTTTTCTAGTGTATCTAGAAGGATTAACATATTGGCAACACGTCTTTCAGTTCTGACGCCTTGCTTTCTAGGTTATTTGTCCTGTTCCTTGGTTTAAGCAGATAATGTACCTAAAGAAGTAAGCTGGAAACAGAAATCAGTTGATTATGCCGGCTTGGACAGTATTTTCAGGGAAATTTTATCCAATAAAATTCTTTTAACTGGACGATTAATACCTATGTAGTTGCTGAATACTAATGGCACAGTTTCATTCTCATAACTTGAATATTTTCCCCATTGGGTTGACATTTGATTATTCATGATCATGGTATTAAATTCACATTATAATATGATTTGAAAATTGGGGTATTCGATGAATTAATTTTGTTTATTTTTCCACTTTACCATGTTCATTGAATTCGTCAGGTTGGTAATTGCCCATGCATAAACAAGTTTAATCAAGCAATCAATATAATAAGCTGTTATCTCCTTTCTAACATATTCTTTGTGTTTCTGGATTCCCAGATTGCTGGTGGTATATGGGCAGATAAGGTGGGTGGGAAGCTTGTTTTGGGTTTTGGAGTAATTTGGTGGTCTATTGCCACAGTATTGACTCCTATTGCTGCAAAAATAAGCCTGCCTTGCTTACTCATCATGCGCGCGTTTATGGGGATTGGTGAGGTTGGCCGATATCTCTTACAAATATTTGTGCAATGAAGATTCAATGCATCTCAATTATAATTTAGATAGTGCTAGTATCTGTGTATCTGTTGTACAATGCATGCTAAGTTGCAGATTCTTAGCTTTATGCCTTGGGCAACATCACAACCTTCATAGGTTATACAGGGAATACCACTAGTCTTTCTTGAAATTGGATAATGATGATATGGTACTTGGTTTAAATAAATCGTAGTCATGACTGGAATTTGAGAAATACTTTGCGTCTTTGCTATAATATTTATGGAGTACTAGCTATGGTTTGGCAGTAAGAACGTGTACTTTAGGTCTATGAGCAAATGTAAGCTTTAACCTTAGAATGGTATTTGGCTATATGTGGTTGTTTCATAGCTAGTATAAATAAATGATATACAGAATTTCAGATCTATGTAATTCTGCTCCTCCCCCCCCCCCCCCCAAAAAAAAAAAAAGCAACTTTCTGCAATGATTCCGTGTAATACAGGTCTTGAGCAAGTTTTCAACTTATGGATCCTCATGTTTCCTACTTGCCAAGTTTTCCTATGGATCTTCAATAGGCAGCTGAAAACATTTTCTTTGTCAAAGTTGATGTAAATAGAATAACTGATTCATTCTCTGAACACTTTTTTGATATATTAACACTAGACTCCATCAACAAAGCCAAATATTATCCTTTGAGAAAAATTGGTTGTGCCACTTTTGCACATTCCTCTTCTTTTTTTAATCTTCAATTCATATTTAAATGAACTCTCTGCCTCCTTACTCTGTATATCTGTCGATCAAGACATTGTTTCATGTTCCAGGGTGTTGCTATGCCTGCTATGAATAACATGATCTCAAAATGGATTCCAGTATCTGAGCGAAGCAGAGCACTATCCTTGGTATACAGTGGCATGTATCTAGGGTCTGTGACAGGATTGGCCTTTTCACCAATTTTGATCCACAAGTTTGGCTGGCCTTCCGTGTTTTACTCCTTTGGCTCACTTGGAAGCATCTGGTTTGCATTATGGCTTGCCAAGGTAAACACACTTTTTTCTTATTACATTAATTACCTCCGTATTGGATTCATATAACTTTTAGTTGCATGAATATCATGTAGATTTGCAAAAGACAAAATGATTTTCATGCTATAACTGCTACCATCACCATCTATAGAGATTTATGCCCTGTGAATATGTTTTACATCACAGGTTCAATGCCTACCCTCTGTATTATAATTTAGATTGTAATTTGAATATCAATATCCTGCTGTAGTCTTTATTTTCACTGTTGATACCATATAGGTGAGATGAAAATAAACTTCAGAACTTAGTTGAATATCTTTTATAATCACCATTGATTCCCTTTTCTCTTCCATAGTCATGTTTTCTTGTCGCTTAAATTGTATTTATTGAACAAGTGAGATGAATTGTGCACTGCTGAATTACATTGAAAATATTTCCTGTGTTTGGGTTTTCCTAGGCATGTCACCCATCAGTGTATGAACTAAGTGCCCGAGAAACAAAGGTTCATCTTGTGAGGCACGTGATCTTTAAATGCACATGGCACTAATATTGCATTTAGCAAAACACATGTAAAATGCTCAAACTCATACTCATGACCACTTCCCCAAAGCCTTGATAAAGGCCCCCATCTACACAGGGTGAGTGAGGTAAAATGTAATCAGCCCGAGAGTTATTTTCATCATTCCCTTATTTATTGCAACTTCATGGAAAAAAGTGTGAAAAAATTTATGAAGCCATTTTGGTTTAATAACATTTTTCCTTTCCTTTCCTTTCTTTTTTGTCACATGTCACTGAAAATGAAATTGCCTAAAAGGTGTGGTGAAATGAACTTCAGAATTCTGTGTAATTAAATAAATTACATTTTTCCCTGGCTCTTCACAGGCACGTAGCACACCAGCAGATGATCCAGAACTTAGTCCTCAGGAGAAAAGGTTTATCATGGAAGGTAGCATAGCCGAGGAGCCTGTTACTGTCATTCCCTGGAAACTGATCTTATCAAAACCTGCAGTCTGGGCTCTTATAGTTTCTCACTTTTGCCACAATTGGGGTACATTCATTCTTTTGACATGGATGCCAACTTATTATAATCAGGTATTGGTCTTTTCTAATAGTAAATACGTAATAATGTAAGTTTGCAGTTGTCCTGGCATATACTACGTATATATATACATGCTCTTGTCCAAGGGTTAGAGAAGACCAGTATAAGGAATTAAGGATCTCAGGATGATGCCTCATGTGAAAGTCTTTGAAAATTCAGTACTTGCAATAAAATGTTCATTTCTGTGCCCTGTGAAATTGTCTATCGTTTGGGTTCCTGCTTCTTGTTTATCGGGGAATAATTCTGATGTTTTTGTGGTCCATTCATATGACAGCTCTTAGGAATTAAGACTGAAAATTTTATCTTATATCTTTTTTTATCTCAAAAAGTCAGAATCCTAGTGTATTGACATGTTCAAGGGTTTTCATGAGCTGACTCAGCTACCTATGTCAGGTGTTGAAGTTCAACCTTATGGAATCTGGGCTGTTCTGTGTACTTCCATGGTTGACTATGGCTGTGTTTGCAAATATAGGAGGCTGGATTGCTGATACACTTATCAGCAGAGGCCTCACTGTTACTTCCGTTCGTAAGGTGTGCATAATACTTGCATGATAGATGCTATATTTATATATGTTTTCTGTCTTTGTTATTGTTGGACTCTTTGAGTGGTAGAATCTGAAAATAGAGTATAATATTAGCTGTTTAGCAAGTATATGTATATACCTTAGTTTTTACTATACCTTAGAAACCTTATCATGCTCAACTATAAGGTTCTGCATGTTGCATCGACAACTTGGATTGGCAATTGATATTCATAGCCTATGTTACACAGATGCTTTGGACTCCTCATACCTTGTTTGAACTTTGAAGTATCTGACTTGGATATGGATAGCTCTTTAGGATCACTTGCAAGTATCCATACCCATTTGAGAAGACAGTTAAGATGTACTTGTAAAATGATCATTGCTGCTTGACTATTTGTCCACTGGTGGTCCTTTCAACTACACGGAAATTGAACAAGCAAAATTATACAATTCTCTGTTTGGATTTTTATGTTTCTGCTCATTCATCTTTGTCGCTCTAGCTTGGATAAAAGTATCCATAGAGTTTAGGGTGTGATGACCAGAACAGCTTTTTAAATTGTATTACTCTAATTTTGTACTCAGTATAATTTGAAGAACCCACCTGTATGAGTTGTTAAGATGACAAAGGTGTCTTGATATATGCCTGTTTATACATTGGGAGCAGTTTTTTTTTTCCCTTTATTTCCTTTTTTAGCAGAGTTGGTATTTCATGGCCATATTCTTGTTGGAACAATTTTTTTATTTTTATTTTTTTCATTTTATGCTATTATGATACATCTATAGGCGTAGGCTTGTCGAGTATACAGCATGTGAACAACTGAACTTTATGCTTCATGTTGGATTGGTCTTCTCTAAGGCTTTTAGCATCTCTTTGCAGATCATGCAAACTATTGGATTTATTGGCCCAGCTATCTCTCTTTCAGTACTAAGTCAAGTCAGGACCCCTGCTTTAGCTGTACTCTGCATGGCATGCAGTCAGGTATATGCTTTCTCCAAAAGACTTGCAGGAACTATTATTGGAAGATCCCCTTTCTTCAATTTGTCAGTTTGTAGTATCTATTTATGGGTTTTGCAAGAATATGAAAATGGAAATAACGTTACGCGCTTGTGATGGATGATAGGGATCAGACGCGTTTTCACAATCTGGATTGTATTCCAACCACCAAGACATAGGGCCTCGATATTCTGTAAGTTTATTTATTCTGGTCCATTCTTGACAAGAATGGCACCCTTGGTCTGTAGAAAGTTGGTACAATGTAAACTTGGTCTCAAGCAAACATGCTGCTACTGTCATTCTGAACTTCTCAAGTCCTTATATATATCTTGTTTTCTTATCCCTCTTATATCTCTTTGCCAAGTTCAACCCTCAATAATCCTGAACTATGCTATTTCTTTAATTAAAAATCCCAATTTAAAATTGTAGGGTGTATTGCTGGGGTTGTCGAACACAGCAGGTGTTCTTGCTGGAGTCCTAGGTACAGCTGCCACTGGAGTCATTCTCCAACGAGGTATATACATTCTCCTGTACTCTAATTTGTATACTTAACTTTTGAACTTCCTCAGACTGACTATTTATTGATGAATCTGGTTGATAGGCTCCTGGGATGATGTGTTTAAGGTGTCAATAGCATTATACCTTGTTGGGACTTTAGTATGGAATTTATTTGCGACTGGAGAGAAAATCCTGGACTGAAAGGGCAGTAAGAAGGATAGGCCTCTTCTGAATCTACAGTCTTCCACGGTACTTGTTATCTATTCCGGACATGATGAAACAGTCGATCACTGCACTATAGATAAGGATATTGTGATCGAGGAAAGTGTACGTTGATTTGGCAACAATAGGTACTCTTTGACCCTTCTTAAGACTGGAGCAAGAGTCAGGATGGATTACTGTGATTTCTATTTTTGTTATATTTCAACCTTCGTAGTTTAAGAAAAATTTTGAGGAAGATGATGCCTCATGGAACTTTGATAAAAATCAAAATATTGAAGTCCTTTTTCTGTATTTGCATAAAGTCCCTATATTAGATGAAAGGAGAAAATTGTTAGAAGACCAACATGTAATTGCTTAGAGAAAAAGCCTGTTATAAACGTACAATATATGAATGTAGTTTTTTCTTCTTCTGCTTGTGTTCCCTCCATTTTCTCTGCATTTTTTTTTTTTTGAGGAATCTCTGCATCCTGTTTGTTGTTCATGCTTACTTTTACTATGTTATTTTGAAGGGAAATGAGTTAATGAGGAGATCAATCCTCTTTTGTTAACCCGAACCAAACACCACCTAAAGAAAGGGAAAAATCTAACCTTAGATTCACTTTTGAATTCATTTTTATATCCATCTGTCTCAAAGTCTGAGTAACAGAGTTGCATACTGAACATAAGATCTCAGATTAGACGGTCTGATCAGAATCGCCTGGTCAGATCGTCTGACCCAAGTTTATTTACGCGAGCAAGAATTTAGTTATGCAATTCATTTTTCTTGCCTCATCTTTTGATGTTTTTTCTTTAATTTAAGGATTGAAATCTTTCCTAAAAGTAATTGTCCCCTAAGAAGTGGGAAGCCAACAAGAATATCCCCACGCCATTAACCAGAAACTGTTTTTATAATACACAATCTAAAAGAAGACAGAAAAAGTGTAAATGTCATGAAGAATGAAAATTAGACTTTATTATTGCTTCAAATATTATACTGTAATTACAAAATGTCAATAAACAAATTAAACCAAAATTGAAAAAGAATTGCCTGAACAAATGTTTCCAAGGGGTGCCCTACGATTGTAGGGTGGTTGGCCCAAAATACACAGGACTATAAATGCCCTCTGAAATCTGAATACAAAATTACAAGTTTTCCATGAATTATAACACCAAACAGCTGTATCAAAGCGAGCCCCTTTAATTCCTCAGTAATTATTCAAACCCATGTTGTGTGTGATTCATCCGCTGCTAACATATTTATTGCAACGTACCTTTCTATCTTCCCATGCTCTCCCCTTCAAATTGAGCCATAATTTCTTTTACTGCAGTAAAAACCCTGAATTCTTCTGTTATCTGACAGTTAATTTTCTGTCTCCTGCTTCATATTTGCAATTACTTGGGTTAAATCCCTTTGATGCACGTCAACCTTAAGTCCATGCTTCATGAACAATGTCATTGACATCTTTTGTTCCACCTTATGCCCTGGCGCCACGGCCAATCGGTGGCGGAGCAAAACTGAGGCCGCCACCGATTTCATCTGTAGGTAAGCCAAATCCTTCCCTAGGCAAATTCTTGGCCCTGCATTGAAAGCCACAAACTTGAAGTGATCATGCATGATGAACTTTGTACCATCAGGGGACAACCACCTTTCGGGCTTGAACTCTAGGCAGTCCTCTCCCCATGTGCTCTGCATCCTCCCTGCAGAGTATATCGAATACGATATCGACGAGCCTGCTGGCACGAATGTGCCATCAGGCAACACGTCGTCAGCCACTACATGCTTCGAGTCCTCCGGGACTGATGGGTATAACCGTAGGGTCTCTGACAATGCTGCCTTAAGGTACACCAGACGGTCCACCTCCTCGAAATCCAACGGCTCATCCACCCATTTTGCCATGTCAGCGCCACGTGTTTCCGTCAGGACTGTGCATATCTCAAGCAAGACCTTCTCTTCAACTCTGGGATTCTGTATGACCAGCCAGAAGAACCAGCTCAACGCCACGGAGGACGTGTCACGTCCAGCTAGGATGAAATTTAATGCCACGTGTTGCAGGAACTTATCCGAGTAGGATGAGTATTCCTTCCTCTTCATGAACCTAGAGAGCAGATCATCATAGTCCTTTTGCCTGTTCATCAACTCTTCCTTACGCTTATCAATGACTTCAGACAAGTAATCGTCTATCTTAACAAGGCTTCGGCTCAGGCTAACTTCTAGCCCGAGCCGGAGCCACTTCTTGAGCCTCCATATGATCTCCGTAAACACGAACCGTTGGAGGCATGCTTCCGTGGCTCGGTCAAAAGCGTTAGCAAAACCATTTTCCGGTAGCCCTGGCACAAGGGTGTGAGGGTCCCCGCCAAAAGCCAAACCACAAATGTTGTCGAAAGTAAGCCGAAGCATGAGGTCCTGCATATCAACTGGTTTAGCTTCACTCTGAGCCGTCTCAAGGATGGGGCACAACCGTCCATGGATGGCTCGGTTGACCCACCGAGCCATGGCTTGGCGGAGGGTTCGAGTGGTGAACTCGAGCGCGGCCGTCTTCCTTTGGAAAAGCCATGTATCACCATCCGAGTTAAAAATTCCAAACCCAAGTAAATCATGAAACACAGCTTGCCAAGTTGGACCCTTTGGGTAGTTATCAAACCGGGTCTTTAGTATATGCTCTAGATTCCTTGGATCACAAGTAACCGTAACAAGACCTTGCTTCCGAGCCAAGAAAGGTACGGCACAGATGCAAGTTTGGTACGTGCCACCACACGCGCGGAGATTATCAGCCATCCAATCATGCATCCTCTCAAAATTCTCGATCAAGCCGGGAAGGCTGCCCAATAAGGGCCAGACACGTGGACCCCGTAGTGACCGTGATATGAAGGTGAACCATAGCAAGTAAGATGTAATGGCAGTAAACAACAGCAAGGCTACATAAATATCCATATTTTTTTTTAGTACAAGATTTCTTGTATAACTAGCCTAAGAGGTAAACCAAATGTATAAGAAAACAGAAAATGTAGGTTTACTTGAAGAGATTATTTTCCCCTTACAATTAAACAAAACATTACTTTTAAAGAAATCCTCAAATTTTGGCTGCTTCTCCGAAGCATCAAAATGCTCAAATAATTTTCTTTTCTTGGTTTAATCTTCAAATAACATCATAAATTTTGGCATGCAAGTCACTTTCTTACTTCTTAGCTTGCTAGAGTCCTGAAAATAAACAGGAGAAAAAAACAAAAACAAAAAAAAATGCAAGAAAATGAGGGAAAAAAATGGGAAGAAAAGAAGGTAATAAAGAGAAAAAACAGGGGAAAAACAGAGAGCTAGAAAGAGATAGATTATTATGAGATGAGAGAGGGAGAATAAGAGAAAGAAAATATATAAGAAAAGTGGTAGGTAATAAATCAAAAAGACAGAGCAATTACTAAGGCCAGTTGTAGTTCTTAAATTAAATTCACCCACTTTCTTCCTTCCTTCTCTTATTATGTCTCACACAAGAGAACTTGATGTGTTTAAGTTGTAACTAGTAACCATTTTTCTGCACGCCTATTTATGGAAAAGTGCCAACAAGAGGGGGAGAGGGAGGGTGGTGGAGGGGTTGAAATAATGGTGTCACACAAAAGCTAGTAGCGACAATTATTATAGCGGTAAAGAAAAACACGGGTAGAGATAAATTAAACTGCACGAACGAGTAATAAGACTATCTTGTTTATTATTAGCCACCTAACATGGTAAGAGTTAAAAAAAGAATTTGAAAAAGGGTCTGTCATTTTTTTCTACCTTATTAACGTATCTAGTTTATTAAGGGTAAAATGTCGTGTTATTATTATATGTTTTACATGTAGTTCTACTCACTAGGTGGAAAATCAATTAAAAAGGGAAAGAGTGAAGCATCATACCTCAAAGGCTCAAAAACATAACATGAACCCTCCTTTGTCTTCTTTATCAATGCCTTTTCCACCTAACTTTAGCAGGGCTTTTAAGTTGATGCATTCAATGGAGAGAGAGAGAGAGTAAGAGAGATATTTATTGTGATTAGTTGAGAAACTAGCCCACACTCTATTATGTTTGATTCCAAATATTTAAGGAACTAGTAAGATAAAAAGAGATAGACAAAAGAAGTGTAATCTTTAACACACACACAATTTAAGGTTTAACAAAGCTTATGACTAGATTAGTTGCTTGATAACAACAATTAATAGTTCCTTGGAGATCACGATATCACAATTCGATATAGTTTACCAAAGAAGAAAGAAACTTAATACGGATTAAGAAATGGGGTTAATTTGTAATCGGGTTTTGAGGGAGTACTTAATCAAGTAATTTGTGGTGATTATGGAAAAGAAATTAAGGTGGAAGATGATTTTAAGAGGAGATGAGAAGATAGGTCAGGGTTGGGTGAGCAACCCAACCACAATTTAAAGTTTCGTGTAAGATTTTTATGTAAGAGATTCCAATCTAGCTATCCTTTACTTTTGCAACAAAAGAGTGTCATAACTCTTTAACAGTCAACGCCTTCTTCTTGATGAATATAAATGATTGTGATGAATTATATAGAGGACAGTCCAAATGCATGGTAACAAATTAAATTTAACCCAAAGTTTTTATATTCATGAAAACTAAGTTGGGTTTACCATCTATACCAGATTAGTGGAAAAACATACACATTTATAGATTATAGGTTGCCTGTTTAATATGTAGCTGTCTAACACCCTACCAAAAGTCTGCTTAGTTAAACAAGTATTTGAACGATGTTTGTTGACTAGTGTTTTTTATTGGATGTGCAATGTTTTTGAGTCTAAAACAAGGTTTTTAAATGTAAGTTCGAAGAAGTTAGCTAAAAACTGCTTTGAATTTGTCTTGGAAATCGACCGAATATGAACAAATTCAAGCTCAAAACTACTTGTATTATATGGTATCTAAAGCTGATCTAATTGACCTACGTAGTATATGACATATTTAGTCATATTTTCATCTTAACTTCAATACTCAACCCCCAAAAAAGACAAATTAATCGTCGTCTAATCATTAAGAGATATATGAGTAATAACAAGTATCATCGTCGAAAATTCAATGATCCCTAAACAATATGAAATTGAGACTTTTCTATGAGCGCCACCAAACTTTACATGATTTTGTGTAAATTATATGAGATTACCGAGTGTTTCGGATGAAAATAATGGGACCTTGCCGAAGGTCCGATAAAGTGGTGAAGACTGGATTCGGTCCAAGTGATGTTGGGCCGAAGATTTCCTGCACAGCAAACACACGTAAACTAGCCTCGGGGGTGTTGTCGAGGAAGGCCCCTCCGATGCTAAAGTCAGTACAGTGTGTAGAGAGAGAAAGTTATGCAAGAGAATTAATTGCTTGAGGCTTTGTGTGTATTGTTCGTACCAATGTAATAATGATGGTTTTTTATACCTTTGTATATATGGAGAATGTGGGCCTTGGCCC